CTGCCTGGCAGTGTAATTCCTGTCAAGTTTTATCTTTTAACCTACACTTATCCAAAGCCGGTTCCTTACACTCCTCAATTTTTGGAAAAAAAGGCAAGAGACCTGGTCGGATGCGAAGTCACTTCCTAGAACAGGAGAGGCTTGGAGGAATGACAGGGAGAGCAGGCCTAAAGGTGGCTTTCCAGAACTCCAATCCCTGAGCCCTCTCTCCCAGACTCGCCACTACCCAGCTAGGGCCTAGGCTCTAAGCAGGCACCACTGGATGGCTGGAGGAGAAGATGGAGGGAGGAAGGTCGATGCCCCAGGACGGACCACAGGAAAGCGGCGTTCACAGGAGACCCGCTCTCTGTGCTTCCAAGGCCAGGAGCAGCCGCCTTCCCGCCCAAATCCGCAAGATGGAAGTTGCTCCCTCTAGCTTTCCCAATACCTAATGCTGCTGGTTTTGTGAGTGACCCCTCCCTTCTCGTCCAAGTCGATTTCTAGCATTTACTGGATTCCAGAGTCTTGTTATTTAAGCATGCATCTTAACCGGTACTACTGAATTCATCTTACGTGCAGCCCAGATTCAGTTTTGGGCAGCACGAAAAGTTTCCGAGGTGCTGCGTGTACCCCGTCCCAGTACACCGCGTGTGCGAGCCGAGCTGCGTGCGAGGAACGTGGCGCGAAGGCCGGGGGATGCCTGGTAGCTCCCCGGCATCCCGGGTGCCCGGCTGCGTGGGTGTGAGCCCTTGCGCGACCGCGGGCCCGCGCCTCTCCCGCTCTCGCAGGAACGTGACTGCAGCCGCACCTCTCCTCCAGCCGTTTCCCAGCCAGACGCTTCCTTTTTGGTCCTTCTGGACGTTTATTGTAAATTCTGTGACTAAAACACGCCGGTGAGCCCGGCCCACCCACAGATGGATCAATCGCCCCCTTCCCGGCTGAGCGGGGAGGAAACACCCCACCCCGAAGCCTCGGGAGCCGGCAGCTGCCTCGGGACGAGCTCCTCGGAGCCCAGCAGGCCGCGGCGCCCCGGCCCGGGTCGGTCTCCGGGCGCTCCTGCCGGGGTGGGGTGCAAGCCCGTGCCCGATCCCTCTGGCGCGACTCGGGCAGGTTCGCTGGCCTCCGAGGAGGTGGTCAGGGCGCCCCGGCGCAGCAGGCTTCTTTCCGAGCCGGGGGAGGGGAGACCGACTGGGGAAGGGGCGTCTCGAAGGGGTGGAAGCCGGAGCGGGCGGGAGGTGAGCGCGCCGCGGGCGTGAGGGCGAAGTTCCCGAGGTCCGGGCGGAGAGCACACGTGTATGTGCGCGCGGGGCTAGGCCGGAGCCGGCAGGCTGCACTGGGGCCGGAGGGGATACTTCCTTTCCCTGGCACCATCGGGGAGACGCTCTGTCGGCCTCGGCGCCCGGGAGCAGGGACGCCTCAGCCTACGAAGGGTGGAGTCCCCGCTCAGACCCGGGTCACCAGGCTAGGATTTTTCTAGCGCCCTGCCCCCGGCGCCCCCGGATGGCTGGGGCGCCACGGACTCCGCGCCCTCCAGCCTCAGCTCAGCTCCCCAGGATTCCCAGACCCGGCGGCGCAGGGGGCGGGGGCAGGGGCAGTGGGGGTTGGAGGGCGCAGCCCGTCCCCAGGGTGGGGAGCGCTGCGCGGGGAAGAGGCGGGTGCCGACGCTTGGGTGGGTTCGAGCCCCAGCGGTAGCCGGGGGAGCCAGTCAGTTTCCGGCCAAGGCAGCAGGTCAGTCCCAGGAAGGGCGGGCGATTGAGCCGAGGGAGCCGGCGGCTGGGCTCTCCTCTATGCCCGCGATTCTCTGCGCCGCCGCCACCACCACCACCACCACCGCCACCGCCACCGCCACCGCCGTGTTGCCGCCGCCGCTGCAGAGCATCGCCGCGCTCCCGCGCCCCGCGCCGCCAGCCGCCTGGGAGCCCGAGCGCCGAGCCCGGGGCGGAGGAGAGGGGCGCGGGCGCGAGAGCCGCGGCGAGGGAGCCGCGAAGGGGGAAGGGGGCGGGCGGAGGGAGGAGCAGGGAGAATGGGAGAAGGGGGAGGGAGAGAGGAGAGCTAGGGAGAGCTGGAGAGAGCAAGAGCAAAGAGCGAGCGAGGGAGAGGAGAGAGGGAGAGGAGAAAGACACACGCACGAAGAGACACACGGTCACTGGAATTCCATTAGAAAAAAGTGAGCCGAGCAAGGGTTAGCGGGAGAAGATTATTTTTGAATCTTGTATTCGTCTTGGTGCGAAAGAAGCGACTCCAGTCTCTCGTCCTCGAAGCTCCAACTGGATTGTTCCTGGGCGCTGACACCCGTCGGTGGATTTCATTCCTATTTGCATTTATTCCGACCCCCTCCCTCGCCGCTTCCTTCCAGCCCTTTACTCGCAAATCGCCTCTCTCCCCACCTCACCAGGCCCCTCCTGGGAAGCGCAGGGGAATTGGACCCGCGGGGACTCACGCTTTCCCGGACGATTGGAAGGGAAGGGCTGACCCCAGGACCGGGCTCTTGGCTTAGAAAGCCGATACACAGATACGCGTATATTTGATTGTAGCGGGCAAGGGGGGCGTCGAGAGGCAGCCCACCGCCCTCCTCTCACCCCACCCGCTCCAGCCAGAGGCGAGAATCGCAGGACTCGGGATCTTCATCGGGTGGACTAGCTGGGATCTCTGCATTGGATTTGGGGCTGATTACCACTGCTTGACTATTATTATTGTTGTTATTATTATTTTTTTTTTACACAAGGGAGAAAGACAAAAAACGGTGGGATTTATTTAACATGATCTTGGCAAACGCCTTCTGCCTCTTCTTCTTTCTAGGTGAGTACCTGCGGGCGGCGAGCTCAGTGAGAGGCGAGAAGCCGGGGAGGCGGGGGGCGAGCGGAGTGCCGGCGGGGGGCTGGCGGGAGGCCGGCGGGGAGAGCGCGCCGGGGAGCGAGCCGGGCCCGGCGCTGGCGAACCGAGCGGGGCCAGGCAGCGGGGACGCGGACGAGGGACCAGAGCCACGGCTGGCTGGCGACGCGGGGGGATCGGGAGGGAGACTCAACATCCGAACCGGCCCCGCAGACACACACACACACACACACACACACACACACACACACACACACACGCTCGCTCACATGCCAGTATAGCGCTCATCTCCCCCGAAATAATGGGTTCGAATTGCAGCAACTTAAGGAAAAAAAAAATCCAACTCTTGATCTGCAAGGAGGGAGGGAGGGAGAAGCTCCGAGGCGTAGAAAGAACAGTCCTGCCAGGTCCGCCTTTCCTGGTCTGCTCCCCGAGTCGGTCGTGGTGGAGGGCGCGGGTTTCTCCGGCGGCTACCGCTTGGACATCGCGGGGTGGGGGGAGCGCTGGCAGTCACTCCCCACCTGCCAGCCGCGCCTGGCAAATGCAGCCCGCGTCCCCAAACCCTGAGCCCCTAACCGGCGGCTCCACTCCCCGGAACACTTTTCAAGTTTCTCCCTACCCAGTCCGGAGCCAGATGGGTGGGCGGGAGCGGAGGGATGTGAGCAGCCGTTCCCGGCCTTCCCTCCTCCACCTCTGGGGGCCGCGGACCCCCGTGACTGGTGGGAAGAGACCGGAGGGAGGCCAAAGTTCGCTTCCTCCGTTGAAGAGGGTGGGAGGCGAGGGAGGAAAAACGGGTCTTAACAAAGACCACTGCTCCTTCTGTAAGCGCCCCTCTCCCGCCCCCGCCTCCAGGACAGGGAGGAGGGGCTGCCTGGTGCCCCGAGCTCCACGCAGTTTCTTTTCCACACACAATTCCCAGCCCCTCGCTCCCTTAGCTTAAGCTCGGTGAACTCTCAGCTGCTTGGGAAATGGGTCTAGAGAAGGCAATCTCCGGAGGGAGGTGAGGAAAGGCGGGCGTTTGCAAGGCTGTGCACCACCGAGGTCCCAGGCAGGGCTGCTGCCAGGGAGTAGATGCTCCCATAGAGGGAGCTGAGTAACTACTGTGTGTGTGTGTTTGTAAGGAGCACACGTCTGCTTCAGTGAGGGTGCAGTTCTACCACCTTGGCTTGCTGTGTAGCCAGTGTTAAGTCAGGCTGCCCAGCCGGGGTCATGATCGTACCCTCTCCCTCCTGCAGCAGGGGATCTGGGAAGGCCCCGAGTGGGGAGGTAGGAGGTGGTTACAGGAGGATGTGTGTGGTCTAAGAAGTGCCCAGCAGACTAGGATAAGGGACCGGAGTCATTGGGTGTCCACGCAGGCTCCGGACTCTCTGCCTGTCCCCTATGCTTCCTGCCAGGTGCGAGTCTCCAAGGGGCAAGGCCCTGCTCTGGTGTGTGGCCTTAGAGGTCCTGCCTCCATCAGCCAGAGGCAGCTTCTGTCTGGGGTGGGAGGGGCTCATCGAGGAAGCTGGAAGGTGCTCTGGGCCGGCTGTGATCCTGAAGCCCTTTCTGACAACCCTGGCAAGTGGACTCTCGTTCTGAAGGGGCTACTATAAAATCTGACCTTTTCTCCCACCGCTGGCTTGAAAACCCAGCCTTCTGGGTCCAAGCATGATCAGGGCCAAGGGGAAAAAAATTGTATTTCAGGCAAAGCAGCCGGATTGTCTACTGCTGAGCTGCACACCCCAGGATGGGGAGGGCTCCCAGGTGTGGGTACCATCTGGGGTCGGGCTGGAGAAGAGCAGTGTGGGCCCCTGGTCATTGCAGGCAGGCTTTCTTCAGCCAGGCAGGCTGAGGAGTCCACCTTTCTCCTTCTCAGAAGTGGGTGTGTATGCGTGTGCTTGGGGGATGATCAGAGAGGCCCATCCCAACGTCTGCAACCCTGGAGGCTGAGTGTTGAGAGGTGGGGGTGAGAGCAGAAGAGCAGCAGGCTCAGCATCCCATTGGGTCACAGCCCTTCAGTTTCCTTTCCCCGAGAAGTCCCCTTCCAAAGCTAGGCTGAGTGGAGTGACCACAGATAGTGAAAGACTCTGGGTTAGGCCAGTGGAAAGGAAGGGATGGGTTGGTGTTTAGGAAACTTCAGCCCTGGGGCCCTTTTCCTGGCAGGGAGCTGGTTGAAAATTCCACTGGGTGGGTGGGTGGAGGGTGGGGGGAGTTTTTTCTGGGGCTTGAGACTTGGTGGTCAATTTCAACTGGGGGCAGAGGCCTTTTGTGTGCCCCTACACTGAGATTCTGAGTGAGGTCTGGGCTGGATAACCCATGGTGGAGAGAGAGAGGCCTTTCTTGCCTAGTATCTTGACCTCAAGTGCTGACCCAGGGAGAGAAGGAGATGGGGAAAGTGACTCGGGCGGGGTTGTTGAGCTGGCCAGGGGGCCACTTCCGACTGGCTTTCTAGCACATGCTCTAACTCTGGTGGGATGTTGGATGCAGTAGGGCAATTGTAGCTCTGTGTCGCTTCTCCACCCCCCTCTACCCCCGTGTCTTGATGGATCAAAGTTTTCTCTTAATTTAGGATTTGGAAACATCACCAGGATACCTCCTGCCCTTCACTCTCTTAGGATTTTTAGCTAAAGGTTGCATGCTGTATGCTGCAAGGATTACTTTCTCTGGCTGGGCTTGATTGGTTCTGGGGGTCATGGAATGAACTAGAAGAGTCAAGGATGGTTTGGTGAATGGATGCCCTGGCCTTTCGCAGAGTGTGTCCCTTGCCTGGTCACACGAGCCAGGTGGCAGGATGGGGGAAGCCCTCTCTTTTGGCATGGGAGCCTCCCTAAGATTGTGCAAGGATCATCCTGTGGGGCTCTAGGCCTCAACTGTAGGACAAGCAAAGTAAATGTCCTTATGGCCTGAATCCCCTGGGCTAGTCTGACCTTTAAGCACGCTGTGAATTCTGTGCCTACAGAAGGCTAAGGAAGCCAGGAAGTTCCATTCCCAGGCCCCCTATGACAGTGCAGTCTTCGTTTCAGTCAAGGTGGGAGGGCATTAGCTTATGGGGAGGCGGGGCGGGGGGTGAAGTCCGTGGAGGGCCCAGGGCTGTGCTGTTCCGCAGGCTCCCGCAGGCTGGCTGGGGGCCGCAGGTGCAGGCGGGGCCGTGTCAACTCATCTGCTCTTGGGGGCCCAGCTGCACCCGGGTCCTGCTCAGGGAGGTAGGAATCTGCTGAAGCCGGGAAAGAAAGATGCTGCCTCAGCTTGTGTGGAGGACACCTCTCCAGCCGTTGCCGGGCCTCAAACTCCACGGTGATTTCTTCTCTGGTCTTGTCTCAGCCTGGCCACATCCATCAGCCTTCCTGTTCTGGGGCAGAGGTCTGGTCAGTGGGAGAAGGGCACGTTTTTTGCTCTGGGCCCCGAAGAAGCCTTCTGTACCCCAGGCCCACCCCTACTGCTCTTCTCTGTTGCCTCCTGGGGGTGGGTCTCCCACCCGCCTGGTCCTACAGGGAGTGGATGGATTCCTGTTCCCTGGGGGCTCTCGGGAGTGAAGGCCCGCTGTGCAGCGCGCTGCCCCTAGGTGTCGCTGTCTCCCTGCGGTAGCGCCCCCCTGAGCAGGGCCTCCCAGGGGAAGGCCTGAGAGCGGCTTTTCTGGGTAGGGATGGGGGATTCTGCGGTATTGAAGACGGGACTTCTGGCCTAGGATTTTATAATGTTCTGGGGCTAGATGAGGTCGAGGAAGCCTCCCAAATTACTCTTTGGGTCCAGGAAAGAGCAATCATGGCTCTGGGCCCTGGTGCGTGCTTTTCCTGGGGGCAGGATCTGGAGTTAGGGGCTTAGCAGAGGACAGAGGGGCTGGGAAGACGATGTCTGTGTCTGGAGGAAACCATTTTAGGAGCTTGGGTTTGAAAGGATCAGGCGAGCCTGTCCTGCCATTTCTCTCTCTTCTTCCTTGTCCCCTCCCTCCTGAGGCACTGTGGGTGTGGACACTGGGGCCAGGACGGGAAGGTGGCCTGATAGGGGATTGCACATTGGTGGAGGAGCAAGGTTCCATTTGCAAGGCTGGGGTCGAAGAGGGGAGCTTTTCCCTTTTGCAATTATTTGGCTTTTGGAAGGAAGAACAAAATAAGAGAGGAGAGGGGAAGGGGGTTTCACAGGAGGGTGGAGAGGAAAGAAAAAAGAGGAAAAACAAGGCCATTCGAAGATAAGAGGTAAAAGGTGAAGAAACAGACCTCTTGGGAGACTGTTAGCAAGAGAAGCGCAAGATATAGCCAGGCACAAGCAGAGCTAGAGTGGGGAGGAGAGAGCAGGGCGCTCAGGGGGCATGGATGCTCCCCAGGCTTGACAAAAAGCATTTTCTATTGGAGGGGGCCAGGGTGGAACTTGTCTTGTGGACGGCGAGGGTTCAGGTCTCCGTCTGGTGTGAAGTTGGACTGGAAGGTGTGGAGGGGTGAGGCGGGAAAGGGGTAGCGGCGCCTCCTTCTTGGGCTTGCCGGGACGGTAGAGTTAGGCTCATCTGTCCCTGTCTTGTCTTAGAGTCAGAATGAGAGTCAGAGTGAGTACACTGGGAATCTGAGGGGGCGTTGTCACCGCTATGTGTGACCTTTATTTGTCATCACCCTTCTTCAGGCCTCAGTTTCCCTAGGGTAAAATGCGGGGTTGGACTCTATGGTGTCTATAAGGTCCTAACAGGCTATGACAACGAAACGACTTGACACTGCTTCCAAGGCTTAGTGCAGCGCCATGGGTGGGCCTCTGGCTGGAGGTTTATTGGGGTTTATAGGAGGCCTGGGTGGTATGAAAGTGAGATCTTCCCCACTCCCTGCAGTCCCCAGCAAGCCGTGCAGGCTCCAGCCAGCCGTGCAGTCCCCAGCTCTCTGCTGAGGCTGTGACATTCTCATTTGGGCTCCTGACGTCTTAGACGGTGATCTTGAGCTGGGTCTTCCTGGCTTTATTGTGCCCTGCTCCTAGGCCCAGGGGCTGCTAAGGAGGAATGGAGTGCAAACGGAGAAAACTTACTCGTCCATCCAGGGGAGGATGACGACTGAGTTCTCCCTCGGGTGTGAGGAGGGCTGCCCACAGAGTCGCCTTGGTGTGCTTTGGTGTGAAATGGGTGTGACGTTCCCAGCAGGGCCCAAGCCCCAGGCCTGTATCTTGGGTGGGAGATTGTGGCGGCCGTCATTCATGCTTGTCTTCCCTCCCCACCACCCAGACGAGACCCTCCGCTCTTTGGCCAGCCCTTCCTCCCTGCAGGGCCCCGAGCTCCACGGCTGGCGCCCCCCAGTGGACTGTGTCCGGGCCAATGAGCTGTGTGCCGCCGAGTCCAACTGCAGCTCCCGCTACCGCACGCTGCGGCAGTGCCTGGCAGGCCGCGACCGCAACACCATGCTGGCCAACAAGGAGTGCCAGGCGGCCCTGGAGGTCTTGCAGGAAAGCCCGCTCTACGACTGCCGCTGCAAGCGGGGCATGAAGAAGGAGCTGCAGTGCCTGCAGATCTACTGGAGCATCCACCTGGGGCTGACCGAGGGTAAGCCTGGGCGGGGCTGGCCCAAGGGGAGGGGGTGTGGCACAGGTGGAGAGGATGTGTGGCGGGCCAGGGGTTCGGGAGGGAGGACTAGGTGATGGGGCGAAGTGGCCAGCTCTGTCTACCTGCTAGGGGAACCTAGAACCCAGAGAAGTCGCCGCCCCACCAAGGAGGGTGGCATTGTCGGAAAAGGCCAGGAGAGACAAAGAGGAGGCAGAAGCGACAGCTGGAGAGGAGAGAGGGAGGTAGTGGGAGGAGGAGAGCACGCGCTGGAGGAAGCGGGGTGAGTGGGGTGGGGGAAGTGGGCAGGGGTTGGGGAGGAGCAAGAACACGTGATTCAAGCAAGGACAGTGTGAAGTGGTTCCAAGAGAAGGTGAGGTAAGAGTGACCAGGCAGAGATGGATATGTGAGAACCAGGCGAGAGAAGGGGCAGGCTGGGTGCAGGCAGAGAAAGCAGCCACTTCAGCTGCCACGGCTGCTGTCCTGCCCTGGGGCTGATCCCAGAGCTGGCTGCCCCTACTCTGCCCTTCTGGCTCCTGCCTCCCTGCTTCCAGGACACCAGCCCTTCATGTGGCTTCTGCACCCCATGGCTGGCCTGTCACCTTCTACAGGGCTTGGGGCAGTGTGCAGGCAGCAGGCCCCACATCCTTTGGCAAACCTGCCCCTGAGTCACAAAAGTAGAACCTATAATCCCTCCGCCAATAACACACTCTCACATCCCCTTCCCCTCCAGACCTGAGTGTGGAGGATTTGCATCTGTTTAGGAGGTGGGTCACTGTAACCAGTTTATTAATTGAACGCATGTTTATTGAGAACGTATTGTCTGCTCCGCTCTAGGTGTTGTAGAAACAGTTGAGGGCAAACTGGTGCAGCCTCTGGCCTCCTGGAGCTGAGTCTGGGTGGGGTGTGGATAAATAAGGGGGCTTCTCTCATTTGATGGCTTAAGTGCTGTGAGAGGGAAGACACAGGGTGTGATGGTAGCAGCTTGGAGGGGGCGTCCGCGCCCTTGCTGTGAAATCTAAAGCATCTTCCTGGAAGAGGCAGGCTTCAAGCTGAGGCTGAAGAGTGAGTCAGAGTCATGAAATGGAACATCGGTGAAGGGAGGCAGGAAGAGTGTGGGAGGTGGAGGGAACAGCATGGAAAGGCCCAGTGTGAGAACTGAGCCTGTTTACAGAGCTGCAAGTGGCCTAGAATGGTAGTGGGTGGCAGGTGGGGTGTGGCGGGAGGTGGTGGAAGTGGGGAGGAGAATTAGGGGCAGAGGGAAGGATCCCTGAAGGGTTTTAAGGGCGATGATCAGATCTGTGCTTCAGCAAAATGTTTCTGTGGTTCCAGTGGAGAGAATAGATTAGAGGACTGTCCAGAAGCTGCTGCTGTGATACAGGCCAGGAACAGTTGTGGCAGAACCAGGACAATGGCAAGGAAGGAGAAATGGGTCTAAGAGCTATTTATTTATGCATTTGTTATTTTTATTGGGGCCTCACTATGTTGCCCAGGCTGGTCCCAGACTCCTGGACTCAAGTCATATGCCCGCCTCGGCCTCCCTAAGTGTTGGGATTACAGAGCTACACACCCAGCTAATTTTTAAATTTTTTTTTTGTTGGAGACGGGGTCTCGTTATGTTGCACAGGCTTATCTCAAACTCTTGGGTTCAAGCAGTACTCCCACCTTGGTTTCCCAAAGTTCCAGGCTTACAGGTATGAGTCAGTGCCCCCCAGTCCTCTGAGAGTTATTTAGAAGAGAGAATCCACAGGTCTTGGTGACCAACGGGAGAGGAGAAGGTGAGGGGAGAGAGGAGTCAAGGAGGGCACCCAGTGTCCTGTCTTAGGCAGCTGAGCAGGTGATGGAGGCCTCAGAAGAATCAGTCCAGTCTTTGAGTGCAGAGGGGAGGGCAAGGGGATGGGGAATCTATTTTGGGGCCCGTGCCTTGTTGACCACACCCTGCAGACATGCAGGTCTGGAGTTGAGGGAGGAAGTGGGTCTGAGCGAGACTGAGGAATGGACATGACCCTGCAGGTGAAAACCAGGGCCAAGGGGGTGGGTATGACCACAGTGAAAGGAGGGTGGTAACAGACCCCGGGGACCATCTTGGGGACCATGGCATTTAAGGATGCGGAGAAGGGAGCCTGCAGGGAGCTGAGAAGGTGCTGGGGAGAGGTGGGAGGAGCAACAGGAAAACAAAGGGGGGCTCATCGCAGAAGAGAGGACCCTCAACATGGTTGGATGCTTAGGGTAAGCTGAGGCTGAGGCTCTTAGCTTCTTAGGCACCTACTGTGTGCCTCAGAGAGTGACACACTGGAGGAGCCATGCTCCCCATGCCAGCCATCGTATGGGGCAGGAGACTTTTCCCCTGGGCCCTCCTGCTGGAGGGAGGAGCCTGGTTAGGGAGCAGAGGGGAACAGGGGGATTGGGAATGAAGACTGTAGATGACTTTTTCCGAATTTTAGCGTAAAGAGGAGAGAACAAAGGATGCTTAAAAAAAAAAAAAAGATGGAAGAGGATTGAGCAGTTTAAAATCTAAGGTCAGACAGTAGTAATGGCGATGTTCCCGTGAAGAAGACGGAAGGGTCTTCTGTGGAACGGTGCCCTTGGGAAGGGGAGGGGCTGGGTCCAGGGCACAGAGTGGGCCAGGGGATGAGCCTTAGAACAGGGGAGCAATGCTCCCTCTAGGTGCTGGGAGGGAGGGAGGAAGCGGCTGCAGGTGTGAAGCCACATAGACAGGGATTCCTGACCAGTCAGAGATGGCTGGAATATGTTCTAAATATAGGAATAAGAAATGTGTATAATTACTACCATCATTAATAGCAAAGTATTCCTCATGAATCAGGCGGTGCCTTCTCCCTAGCAACCTGGATTCCTAGAACTAGCATGAGCAAAGGGAGGAATACTGTCCTGAGGGTACTGCACTGTATTCTTCAGGAGATAAGGCGCTGTCTTCACCCAGAGCCGGACTCTGTAGCGTACAAAGAATTAAAGCGCTCGATGCCTGAGCTGAGTAGTTTTGTTTCTTGTCTTCCTTCTGGCAGCCTTCAGTTTCCACCCAAGGGAGACTGGGCAGCAGGTTCGGGTGGGCTGCAGAGTGGACAGGGGAGAGGACAGGACAGAACTGTCAGCCAGAACAGCCGGGTGAGCACTTGGGCCTTTTAGCACCAGCAGCCCTTCCCATCTCACTGGCTCCCTCTGTATCACTGCATCAGGCCACAGGAGGACTGTGCCGATGGGATCCAAGGGAAATAAGCATGATGCTGTGTGCATTTAGCTGCACACTGCTGTGTGATTTTCAAGGCCGCTTGACTGGGAGTGCCTGACTGCAGATGGCTTCTCTGGTTCCAAATCTTGTTTTTTTGAGACAGGGTCTCACTCTGTCGCCTAGGCTAGAGTGCAGTGGCATGATCACAGCTCACTGCAGCCTCCACCTCCTGGGCTCATATGATTCTCTCACTTCAGCCTCCTATGTAGCTGGGACCACTGGAGCCTGCTGCCATGACTGGCTATTTTTTTTTTTGTAGAGGTGGGGTCTTGCTATGTTGCCAGGCTGTCCTCAAACTTCTGGCCTCAAGCAATCTTCCCATTTTGGCCTCCAAAAGTGTTAGGATTATAGGCATAAGCCGCTGCGTCCCGCCTGGTTCTAAGTCTTGAGATGGTTTATTAATTCATTTATTCAACAACCATTGGTTAAACACCGACTGTGTGCTTCAGAAGGTAACAGTGCTGTAGGAACTTGTTCCCTGTGCTGGCCGGCAGACAGGTCGGGAGACCTTTCCTCTGGGCCCCACCTAGAAAATACACCCTTACGTTTCTCCTTCCATAGAAGACTGCATCTTTTCTCTGTACGGGAATTCCACCTTCTCCTGGGTCTTGGGAGCCCAGAGGTAGTTTCTGCCCAGAGCTGACCAGGGGAAGCCAGGAGGCCTCCAGGTAGTGTTCTTGTGAGTGGCGGGGTCTACCTGAGAGGTAAGCATCCATGGCCTGTTGAGCAGTCTCCCTGAGGGGGACTGCGAGTCCTTTTCCTCCCTGTTCCTTGATAACATGTAATAACCTGGCGCAGGCCTGGGACTGCGGAGAGGGCAAGAATCGCTGAGAGGAGCAATGTGTGTAGGCTTGGATTTTCCTTCTGATTCTCAGCCTCTCCTTGGCCCCTGCTGGTGGGCGTGATTTACCATGGGGCTCTGCTCCGCCTTCTTCCGCTCCCTGGGACTTAGCTCTCAGTATGCAGTCGAGGTGCACAGCAGGTGCACAGAGCCTGTGGCGGCAGTGGGGAGAATGGAGAGTGGGCTGGGGTAGGAAGGTGACCTCAAGATGTGACTGCTGAGCTCCTAGAGTCTGAACTGCAGAGGATCTGGCGATCATTCGGGCTCCCTACTACCATCTGGCAGGGAAACTGAGGCATGGATGGGTGAGATGGCCTCCCAGGGCACACACAGCAAGCTCGTGGCAGGACCCAGAGTGGGTCCCAGGGCCCTGACTCCTTATCCAGGTCGCTTTTCACTGCCGGGGGGGAAATCCCATGGCTTGGGCCCCATTTTCCTCCACTGCCACTGTTTCCTCCATTACCACCACCAGTGTTTACACAGGGGACTGTCACTGTTGGCTGCCTGGGGACTTTGAGACCAGGTTTCTTGCCCTCTGCAAAGGTGACACTGAAATTCAGGGTCTTTTGGTCTGAAGATGAAGAGCAAGGGCTTCTTTCATTCCCAGAATCTGACGTTCTGGCTCTGGTTTCAGTGGCTCGTGCCTCAGGATTTCTCACTGGTGAACTCCATGGCAGAAACAGGCTATACAAGTTGACTTAAAGAGGCTGGGCCCCTCCAAACCAGTTCCGGAAGAGGCTGTTCCTACCCTGCCACCCCTACCCCATTAATCAGACTGGCCTAGCTCTACCTAGGCCCGTGGCTGCGCTAGATGCAATAGGGAAGGACAGGCCCCCCCTCTCCCCACCGCCCCGGGGGACCATCTGGTGGACAGAAGAGTGATCTTGGGAAAAGGGGAACAACAGTACTTATTCAGGAATGATTTGGTTCCAGCAACACTCTGCATTTTGGGACACAGTATTCCCAGCAGTGAAGCACTTAGACTTTGGAGCCCACTGCCTGGGTGTGAACCCTGGCTCTGTCACTTGTTAGCTGTGTGACCTTTGTCAAACTACTTAATGTCTCTGTGCTCCTTGTTCCTCCTTATCAATCAAACAGGGAGAAAAATAGTGCCTATTTCATACAGTAGTTAAGAGGATGAAGTGAGCTATATCTAAAGCACTTTCAGTGCTGGCACCTGGAAAATGCGGTATAACATTATTTTTACTGTAAAAGTGATTTCTAAGTTCCTACATTGTTTGGCCTCAATAAATAGCTATGGCTGGTCACCCCACCTCAAGGAGTTTTTCAAGAGTGTCTAAAGTGCCCGTGGGTGGATGGAGGACACTGAGATCATCCAGGCTGGTGAGGGGTCCAAAGGCCCCAAAGAGAAGGTGGGATCAGATATGGGCCATAAACAATGCGTCTTGACTGGGTGCAGTGGCTCATGCCTGTAATCCCAGCACTTTAGGAGGCTGAGGAGCACGGATCACTTGAGGTCAGGAGTTCGAGACCAGCCTGGCCAACATGGTGAAACCCCATCTCTACTAAAAATGCAAAAATTAGACGGGCGTGGTGGCAGGCACCTGTAATCCCAGCTACTGGGAAGGCTGAGGTGGGAGGATCGCTTGAACCCAGGAGATGGAAGTTGCAGTGAGCTGAGATCATGCCACTGCACTCCAGCCTGGGTGACAGAGTGAGACTCTGTCTCAAAAAAAAAAAAAAAAAGAGTCTCATTTGGATTAGACTGTCTGCAGATTCCAGCTGGGCACCTGCTATGTGTCCTGGGTGTCACAGGGCATGAGGGATGCTCTTAGGAGGTGACATGAAAGGCAGAGGCTATTCCTTATGCAGAGAATGTGCCTCCTCCTTGTCATCTGGGGCTGTCCCTTTTTCTAGGGGTCTGCCGGGAATAACAGGCAGCCTGCTTGCTCGGTGAGCCTGCAGGGGGCTAGTTGAGTCTCCACTTCCAGCCTCTGGGTGACCACATGCAGAGGGGTTGCAAAGCCCATCTTCCAGATGCCTGATACCTTGCTGCAGGTAGCCCTGAAGAGGCTGCCCTACCTGTGCTCACTCCTAGGCAGAGGGTGCCTGCCTGGGCACTGGGCCCTGCCTGGATGGGAAATGAGTGTGTGAGGCTGTGGGTTATCACCTGTGCCCTGCTTCTCACTACACACACGCACACACACACACACACACGCGTACACGCGCAGGATGAGTGATGAGCCATCAATTTCCCCTTGCTGATAACATCTCAAGAGGCTATTTTCTTTCCTGCTGAGGCCTTAGCAGAGGAGGGTGGGATTCCTGACACAGTGGTGGGGTCTTAAGGGGAGCCCTGGGCCATCCATCTCCTGTCACTTACTTGCTTTTCCATTCCTGAGCCCACGAGGCACCCAAAGCCTCGAGGAAAGGTCCAAGGACCTGCAGGTGGTAGGGAAGACAGGAGGGCCCTGTGGGAGAGAGGCCATGCAGACCGAAGCTAGGGATCAGATCACCCACTGAGCGGAACTTCAGCCCCTCCAGCAAGATTCTCCTGGCGACACGATGGGAGGCAAAGAGGAAATTCTTTCCTCCTCAGTGACCTGGGCGGAGCTGGCATGGTGTGATGGGAAAGGATGCTGGTGGGAGGGCCAGGACAGCAGAGTCTAGCTCTGGCCCTTCCAGGAGTAGCTATGTGATCTCAGGCAGGTTTCTTCACCTCTCTGGGCCACCTCAGAGCCCTCTCTTGTGAAATGGGGAATGATCGTGGAGAGCCCTTTGACTTCAAATCCTGCGATTGATACCTGGCCTTACGTGGGCCAGCATTGCCCTACTTCCCCCAGACGCACCTGGAAGTCCTTCCAAGGGGGCCGGCCATGCAGTGTGGTCACGAGAGAGAAGTGTCAGGCAGTTCTGAGCTGCTGTCAGGGAGCTTCTCCTCTAGTTGGGAGACAGACCTGCCTGGGTGAAATGCTAAACATTTCGTTGCTAACGTGCCCTGGTCCTGCACTCTTCAATTTGGGAAGGGCTGCTCTGTCTCTTATCCCCTGGGTGGCACGGGCTTTCCCCTGTTAGAGAGCTTTCCTCCGGCAGAGTTGGTAAGTGCCGGCAGCGCTCTGGCCCAGGGAAGCCTGTGTCTGATGCCTGTTCTGTCTTCCAGGTGAGGAGTTTTACGAAGCCTCCCCCTATGAGCCGGTGACTTCCCGCCTCTCGGACATCTTCAGGCTTGCTTCAATCTTCTCAGGTAAGTGAGCTTGCACTGGGACTTGGCCAGTTCTCCTCTTGTCCCTGTGGCGTGGCAGATGGAGCTCTGGGCTTGGACAGGCGTCCTGGCATCCGAGGATGGCCCTGCTGCCCATCAGCTCGCCCTTAACAGTTCTGAGCCTCAGTTCCTCCTCTGTAAAGAACACGATGCCCACCTCCCTGGGTGCTTGTGTGGAGCAAGGTGTTGATGGAAATTGTCTGGTCAGCTGGCTGTCATGGAGTAGGGCTTGAATCTGGAACTTGGTGTCACCCTTCTGTCTTACCCTCATTCCCTCTTTCCAGTTCCCTGGCTCTCCTGCTTTGGAGCTCTTCCACTTGGTCATGTTGCTTACCCTGTCTGGGCCTCAGTTTCCTCCATTGTGATGGGAGAGTACCGTCCTTACCTCATTGGATTGCCGTGAGGTCTAAGTGGGTCAGTGGGTGGTGAAGGGCTCAGCACGCTGCATCAGTGAGCATCAGCTGTGGCTTGGTGTTACTGGTCCTATGACGATTTGTTCTGCCCTGGGTTTTCCCTCTCTCTTGAGGGCTCTGCTTCTTGAACCACAGGACGGGAAGTGTCTGCAGGAGTCACTGTGGTCCTCAGGCCACCCCCTGTGCCGTCCACCCTGGGGAGTGATACAGTCTGCATTGGGTTCTAGCTTTGCCAGGCTCCACATGTAGGAGCCAGGTGAGCTCTGGGGGTCTTTCTTCTTGGCTTTGTTCTCTGTGGCATCTGGGAGACGCTGGGCCCAGGGCAGCTCACCCTGCCTGGGCGCTGGGGAGGAGCTTCCGGTCTTGGGAGCGCTCTGTCGGGGTGGGGGGTGAGCTCCTCTAGGGATTGGTGGAGACTGATGCTCCAGGGGTGGCCAGAGTGGGGCTTGTTCTCAGGGATCTTTGAGCACAGGAAATCTGGTTTACAGGCAGTTTTGTGGCAGTCTTTGAAATCTTCTGGAGTTTCTATGGCTCTAAAGCAGGGTTTTCAACAGCAGCACTATTGACAATTTGGCCTGGATAATTCTTTCTTGTGGGAGGAGCCGTCCTGTGAGTCTGAGGATGTTCAGCAACGTCCCTGGCCCCACTGGATTCCAGCAGTGCTCTTGCAAGCTGTGACAACAAAGATGTCTCCAGACAGGGCCACATGTCCCTTCGGGGCACAGCCACTGCCAGTTGAGAAGCACCGCTGTAAACTGTGAGCTGAAAGCATTTCCAGTGGGACCCTAAGCCCTTTTGAATAAAGAACTCCCCAGGGCCATGTTTCTCAACCATTCTTTTTTTTTTCATTGTTGTTTGCTGGGGAGAAAAAATAATTCTTCCTAACTAGTGAGATTAAATACCAAGGAATAACATTTTGTCTCGAAGGTTTGAGTTTTGGAGGACCAGAAGCCATGGTAAGATCTCCTTTCTCTTTTCCTTTTTGCCCACTCAAGAACCAACTTTTGCTCCCTTGAGGTGACGCCCTTCCCTCCCGTGGAGAAAGCACGCTCTAGGAGATTGAAACAGGGATGATACATGTGTCCCTGGTGGGAGAAATCTTGGATGCCCAGGAAGGGAGGTATTGGCCAGGGCATAGCCATCTGGGCATGGCCTTGGGCGCTGGTGGTGGTTGGGTTGGTGGCGAATGGAGTGGAGACCTCAATGTCAGCTGTGTTGAGCACCTTGCCCTGGGCTCTCAACATCATAATCCCCCCGCCCCAGTGGGGTCATAACAGAGGCTCTGAGCTCACAGCAGCTTCCATGCAGGCCCTGCCTGTGGGCACCATGGCAGCTCTATGGTAAATCTTGGCCAAGGGCTGGACTGGATGGGGTTGACTGAGAGTCCTTCCCATACAGGCATTCTGATTCTTATATTTCTTGATGAGTTTTGCATGGAAATCCACTTTGGACCATTCCTTCTGAGGCAGTGCTCTGGGGCTTAGAAGCAGGTTGAGGATGCCATTAACCTGTGGATGCTATGGTGGGCACACCCTGGTGGCCCGCATATGTACCCACGTTCTACTCTGTGTGAAGGTCAGGTACTGGCAGATTACTACTGCGTGGACAGGTGACACTGGGCTTCCCTCCAGTAATAAATAGCTTTGACTTGCTTCTGGATGTTGAAGCACAGAGATCCTCACCTTAGCCCAAGCCCCTGCTGCTCCCGGGACTCACACTTAAATATCTTCCTAGCAGAAAATCTTTACGTAATGGACTTGACACTCTGTGGGACAGGATGTTGACAAGACAAATGAGGAAATTACTAGGTCTGCAGCTCACTGAATCAGCCTGCTTTCACCTGCTGCCCAGAGATAACTGAGCCCTACGCAACTCTGGGTTTCTGTGCTCCAGGGACCACTCCTTGCCATGAGGGCTGGGCTTTGGGGACTGTGCTGGTCCCTCCTCATTGCCTCTGCTGACTCTGCTCCACCCAGAGAAGCCTTAGGGGTAGGTAAGTAGGCAGCTCTGTCTGGGGAGACTTGGGCACATAGTTGAATAGGGAGGCCCTGGCCTTGCCATGAAGAAACCAAGCTGGGGCTGGGCACAGTGGCTCACACCTGCCTCTAATGTCAGCACTTTTGGGGGCCAAGGTGGGAGGATTGCTTGAGCCCAAGAGTTTGAAGCTGCAGCGAACCGTGATGACGCCACTGCATTCTAGCCTGGTCTACAGAGTGAGACCCTGTCTCAAAAAAACCTCCCAAAACACACACACAAAAGAAACCAAGCTGGCCATGGTGAGGAGCTCAGCAGAAAGGAGGCGAGATCGGGAGCTGGGAGGCGGTTCCAGTGCAGTCCCCACCATAGATCACCTGTAGGGTCTTGGGCAGGCTCATTTCACGTGCCAGATCTTGTGTCTGAATGAGGACATGACCTTGGAGCAGTGCTTCCCAACCTTTGTCCCATCAAGGCACACAGAAAATGGTGATGTGGCAGGGTGAGCAGACCAGCTTAGTGCTCAGGCCATCACGAGCCTCCTGCTTGTCAGTGTCTGGGCACACGTATCCCCCATCTGTGTGTGGTACGCTGGCTGCAAAGTCTTGTTATGAGTAACCAAGAACCTGCGCTAGAGCTTTGGCATTAAAAGGCTGTCACCCCGCAGGATTGCACAAAATCCTGTGGGCAGCCCCTCCCCAGCCCCACTCATATTGCCTGCATGCTGCCCCCTCCACTTGTCTGTGTGGAAAGACTGTGGGTAGGGAGGGAGGCGTGGAGTCTTGGTGGCCGCTTCTGGTCTGTACTATCTCCAGGTGGGACACCAGGGAGGATGCTCCTGTGTCTTTGGGACTCAGTCGCTACTATCTGTTTACCAGCTCCTGTCTGTGAATTCAGGGCTCCGTTATAGGGGCCTCCTGGATATCTGTTCTTCATCTCTTTCTGTTGGGGTTCTCGGAAAGTCATACTGGGATTCTGTTGCAAAGCTGCCAGGATTCCTGCAGCAACCTCCAATGTCCAGAAGCCTTGGGGAAGGGCAGCTTCTTCCGTCCTCTCTGCCCAGTGCTGCCTGACAGACCCTGGGCTCAGCGGTGGGTCAGCGAGTCCTGAGTCCAGGACCAGGTAGGGAGCAGTGTGGCTGTGATCTGAGTCACAGTGACAGTGATGTTAGACGTGTCCACATGTCCTGCCCTCCCCTTCTATGTGGGAAGAGATTTCATGGAGAAGAAGTGAGTTTTGTCCTGTTTCTAGCAATTCAAACTGCCCTTGAAAGCGTGAGACAGTATTTAGGGAGGTGCCTGGAAGAGCGCGGGCCTTGAGCCAGACAGTCCTGGGTTCGAATCCTGACTAGGCCTTTTAGGGGTGTGTGATCTTGGCGGTTCACCATGGCCTTTTTGAGCTGTGCTGCCTGCGTCTGTAAGATGGACATACGATGCCCTAAGAGAGTTCGGTGGGAATGGATGTTGGCAAAGTGCCCATGGCACATCAGGGACTGAGCCAGCCTTGGTGCAGTGGGTCATCCTCTGTCTGCCTGGGGTGCTCAGTGGAGGCAGGAGGTTGTTTAGGTGGGTGCAGGGGTTGAGGAGCTGAAGTGGAGCATCCTCCTCATCCCCAGGCTCCATGACCCTGTGACTGCTGAATCCCAACTGATTTCACCTGGGGAGGCAGGAGAGGGTGAAACCAAGTTGGAAAAGAAAGAAGAGATCTTACAGGAAGAGAGAGGTTGCAGAGGGAAGGAGGACCTGGAAGGGCGGTGTGGAGCCAGCAGGGATGTGGACCTATAGAACTAGAGAGAGGTGGGTGGATGTCAAAGTGGTGATGAAGAGGACTGGGCGGGTTGGGCAGAGGCATCTTCACCAATACTGGGGCCATGCCTAAGGGACGGGGAGAAGTGGGCAGATGGCCTTGGCTGTCATTAGGCGCTGTGTCTGCATTCTCGTGAGGGGCAGGGGCTCCGGGGTCTGGCCATGCTGTGCAAGTGTGGCTAGAGGCTTGGGCATGTGGCATCCTTTCTGAAGCTGGAAGGGAACTTAGGAATCATGGAGGCCCACCCCTTCACCTGACAGAAGGGGAAACTGAGGCTCAGAGGGACGGCACACATGTCGATGGGATTCCAATCCCCGTCCCACCTCTGAAGCACTTCTCCTCTAAGCTGCAGTCCTGTTCTCTTGCCCAACCTGGGGCCAATGGCAACACCTACCTCTGAGGATTTTTGTTAGGACTAAATGAGATAGTGCAGGTGAGTGCTTGGCCTGAGCCTGGCATGCTGCTCTAAGCTATGTTAGCTTTTTAAAACATTAGTATGGACTGGTTTCTCCAAGGTCCAATGGCAGGTTGTGGCTGGGCCAGCCTAGAACCTGGCGTTCTAGAAATTGTGTGTGCCTTTGCTGATGCCAGGCCGCCTTTCACGCTGGGATAGTGCTTGGTCGTGACTGGAGTAGAGGTGATCAGGTGATTTCCAGAGAGCAATGGGCCCCTGAGGCTCAGAGGGAGTCTTGGGTGGGGACAGCCATCACGTGCTGTGCTGTGCTGTGACAGGGACAGGTAGAGGCTGGTGAGTGGCCTGGGCTTAGTGGCCTTTGTGGACTGGAGGTG